AAAAAAAAAAAAAGTGTTTGCTAAAACAAAAATGAGAAAATATGCACAAGGACAAGTGTGCTTTTGCCAAATTTCAATTTTGAGCTGCACATAGGTCAGCATAAAGCCACAGAGGTGCATAGGGGCTGGTCAGGGGTACTGTTCTGTACTGTGAAAAGTTGGGGGGTTGGGGGTCACATACCAGGTATGGCTTGAAGGGTGGGCTGGATCAATGAGTGAAAGGTCCTATACACCATAACTGGGATTTAAAGCATAGCCATCAATGGTTTTTAAACAGGAAAGTGACCAATTCAGATCTATTTTAGAAAAATAATTCTGTGAAACAATGAATTGGGTAAGAGAGAGACAAAGGACAAGACATTGATGCAAGAGACAGATAAGGGTCTGAACTTATCTGTGGCAATGGGCTAAGAAGGGAGGCATAAACAATCTTGAGGACATTCAGGTGCCAAATCCATAGGAGTGGTGGTTACTGATAATTAAACATGGAAGGGAGTACCAGAACTGCAATTGTTCTGGGATGGAGATGGAAAAATCCAGATAATCGACTTGTTCTAGGACATGCGGAGTGAAGTTCATGTAACACTTCTAGGTAGTTCAATTAGAATTAGAGACAAAGTTAGTTTCAGTTTCAGGGGCCCTACTAAGCTATAGCACTTAACACAGTGTACTATAAATATTTATGAGCCTGCTTCCTGTCCCACTGATAGGACAAGATCATTTTGCTTGTTTCTATATCACCTATTCAAAATATACAACTAAGTATATATGAAATGTTTGACAACTGACAGTGTGCTATCATATGTCAATTCCGAGCAGTAGATAGATCAAAACAAACCATATGTAGAAGCATCAAAGTGACTACCAAAACAATGGCAATAATCTCATGAAGGCATTAGGTGTTATGTTCAAACAGGATTTAAAAAAAGTTAAACTTGTTAAAAGCCAAAATCAACCATGAAACCCAATAAAGATATGAGAAAATTATAGCAATCCAAGAGTGAAATTGTAAGTTGTGAATTGCTTTGCCTTATTCCGTAAAAGGCATTCTCAAAAATTCTTTAAAAAATCTAATTCTAATAAAAAGCTACATGTGAATACTGGTTATAATTTCTATGTTCATGGATATCAATCATCATATGGGAGGATACAGAATTCAGACCCTTGACAATAAATAAGAAATTAACTTGCAATTTTTATAGCAGTGAGAATTTGAGAAATTGTACACATTTCAATCTATAATATAGACTTTCATGTTTTTTATCTTGGTAATATATTTCAAGTAAAATCAAACATCTTTATTAAAAGACACTGATCACTATCAGAGTTCTAAAAAACAACAACAAATTACCCCAAATATTGGGATAACTCTGTAAATATATGTTGGCAAACCCTCTTTTCTCTTAAAAGAAAATCTCAACTGAAGTACCTCTGTGCCATTTTTGGACAAGTCTAAAACCTCTTGAGATTCTTTCAGAACTTTCTTTTTATACATTAGTTTAAGAAATGCCTCATGGAAAAGATAAGTTCTGGTAACTGGATATTTCTAGAATATTGAAATTATTCAATTCATGAAGAAACTGTACCCCTCTTTGAAGATTCTAATAGTTTTTTTGGCAGGACACTGAGTTATTCAATGTGTTAATAGAATGCTGTCTTAAAGAATAGTGAGTTCTTGGGGCGCCTGGGTGGCTCAGTCGTTAAGTGTCTGCCTTCGGCTCAGGTCATGGTCCCAGGGTCCTGGGATCGAGCCCCGCATCGGGTTCCCTACTCCGCAGGAAGCCTGCTTCTCCCTCTCCCACTCCCCCTGCTTGTGTTCCCTCTCTCGGTATGTCTCTGTCAAATAAATAAAATCTTTAAAAAAAAAAAAAAAAGTGAGTTCTAAATTATCCTATTACACAAGTCCGACCACTGCAGATTCCAAGAGTGGGAGGCACAGAAAGGGTGCTCTGTGGTAACATTTGGTTCTCATTCTCTTTGAAAAATACCACCGTAGCACATCTATTGTAATATTGGTTATGAATTACTTCCTATCACATTAAATCAAAAAGACCAAAACCCCTCAGGTGTGTACAAACACCAAAGCACTTTCCTTTTTTTGTATCAAGTTTTTAAAAATAGTACCATTGGCTTTATTCTGAGAAATAACTTTTGGTTTTTTTCTGTAAGAAGACTGTGAAAATAAGTTTGTTAATGTTCCAGAGATTATATTTTATAAAATTCTGCCTGCCACAATTAAGGAATATTCATCTCCCAATATCTTAAAAAACAGACAAGATTATACATAGTAATGATGTTATCATTAGCGTTAGTAATGAAGGAAAGACAGTGCCAAAGTTGGGCGAATATCTATTAAGATACACTGTACATGAATTGGTTTTTATCAGAAAGCACAGAAAGATTAAACTGAAAATTTTAAGCATTTCTTCTCATAAATAAGCCAAATGATTTGATATTTATTTTCTTCTGAAGTCCATATTATTTTAAAACCTACTAGATAAAATAGACTCCATTTTAATATGAAGTCTCAATATTATATATATTATTTTCCTGCAAACGTCAGTGAAAAATTGAGCTCCTCCTGTTTCTCCATACAGCTAAAATTTATGTAATCCATAGGTTTCAGCACACAGAGTGAAGGGGAAATGTCGTGTTAATGTAGAGTGAATCTAATTTTTGAATTTCAAGTGTTAATGATTTAAACCTTTGTGGCTAGGTCCGGAAAAATTAAATTCTTTAAAAGAGGTTCAAAATCATTGAATAGAACCCTATCAATGCTTGCATCACATCTGGCAATAATGAAGACAAATTAACAGTAAGTTTTTGAAAATCTGGCAAGATGATAAAGCCAAAGCATACAAAATCATTTCTCTGTACTTAGTCACTTGTGGTCCAGGGAAGGATCAACTTCCTGGACTCTCGTGTCCATATCAAAGGAGGAAAATCTTACTGTAATCTGGGTTCCAGGTTTCTGGCTCACAAACAACAAGGCCGTACACTCACAAAGCAGGAAAACATCACCCCCAACACATCCTCTGAGAGGAACCTGCTTTTCTAATATCTGCTTTCACTTTAGTTCAAAGAACTGACAATGGCATAAATTCACACCTTCATCAGGTTAGATTTTAAAGCTTAATGTGCGATGTTAACTCTTCCCACTCATATTTAATTTCTCTTGGCCAAGAAGATTTGTCTTTAAACTACAGATGTAGTCAAGAATTTGCTTAAAAAAAAAAGTTTAATTATTAAACTTAAGTTTATGTCAATTACTTGAAACAATATCACTTAATTTTAAAAATGACTGTATTCATTTTCTGTGTGTATATATGCCAGTCATGTAATGCCACTTTCATCTAAATACTGTTTAAAACAAATATTTTAAATAGCTTAAGTAACAGATTTGGTACTTAGTTTTTAACAAGTAGAGCAGGATGACCAAATTCGAAAAATATTTTGATTCTTAAAGAATGTTGCAGAATAGTTTAAAAGTACCTTTTCTATTAGAACTGCTCATCTAGCAGAAAATCAAGAATTCCATCAACATCCCATTATCACCTGGAACAGTGGATGAAAATCCACCTTTGTTATAGCCATTTTAACTACAGAAATGTGCAATAAACCACGCTCTCGTGATAATTAAAGGGATGGTGAATGTGAAACTATTTGGAAAAGCACAAGGCATTAGACCACATAGGCATTATTATAATTAAAGAAAGATGGCTTGAACAGTGATTTAAGCAATGGTGGCTTGCTGCATTATACCAGATTATACTAACAAATCTTTTTTTATTTGTAAAGTTAGGGATAAATTAATGCATGTCTAACCTTTGTAGCTCTTCTTCATTTACAATGTGCTTTCACATACACTAATCTGATTTGAGTCCTGTATTAACTCAACACTGTGTGTTAGGCAGAATGGTCATTTTTTTGCTCATATTTTAATGTGCTGAGTATAATGTCCATCAATTTGAGACACGGTAATATGAAATTATTAAGCCTAAAATGTGTTGAAAACAATAAAAACTGTAATTGTATAGATGGGGCTTGGGATCAAAATGACACATTTTATTAAATGCAATGTGCAAAATAAAATTAAGTGAACTCTAGTCAAAAAGGGTACAAGACAGGTATTATTTAAAATGCTTTAGTACTCGTTTTCAATAAAAAGAAATCTGGCATTATAAAAATACATAAAATAGTCATGGATTCATACCATTAATTTACATAAGATTTTTTTTTTGCGTAAAACAAAGTTAAAATAGTTTAAAAAGGTATTCTTATATGAAAGTTACTCCCAGTATAAAATTTTTATAACTTTTTGTAATTTTGGTCCATCTGTATAAATAAGACATTTTATCCTTTTAAAATTCATAACTCCATTTAAAAACATAGGATTCTCTCTTTTAAATAAAAGTCCACTTGAGGTAGTATGTTTGAGCTCTTCTTTGCTCCCATTCAGTCTATGTGTCCAAGTCATAAGACTGAAAATGTGGAGTCCTGTGGTTTTCTAAAGTCTGTTTATAGGTACACGTGTGATTTTCTTGCTGAAAATCTGTCCTTTCTTTCCCATATTCCTCTGACTCAGAGTCCAAGTCTGGGGAAGAACGAGCTTTCAGGTGAAAGGCTCTTGGCTGACAATCCACTGGCTGTCCAAAGCTTGAAAAGGCATCCAGATGAGCTCTCTTCAGCGGCTTTCCAAATGTTCCTGAAAGAAAGAAACCCCTTGAGCATATGGGTCCTTTGGCTAGCATGTAAATCAAAACACATTTCAAATGAATGAGCATCTTAGCCCGTAAGCACGAGTAAGTGTTCTCTACAAGTCACTTATGTATCGGGTGTATGTGCATCCGTGTTACGGAGAGAGAACTTACAGAATGGAGCTGGGGAATGAATACATATGTCCATTCTTTATCACATTTCATCACCTAGAGTAATATTAATCATTGAGCAATGAAGTTCCCCAATATTATTTCTTCCAAATCCTGGCTTTAGTTCTTGACAGTCCACAATTCTCTACGAAGGAGATCTGGATTGTTGGTTCCAAGTAAATTATGCCTGGATATGGAAAGTTTCTTTCAAAATAATCCTTATGTCTTGCCCTTTCTTCTTTACTGGCAAAATATTTCCACAATTCTCTATGAAGGAGATCTGGATTGTTGGTTCCAAGTAAATTGTGCCTGGATATGGAAAGTTTCTTTCAAAATAATCCTTATGTCTTGCCCTTTCTTCTTTACTGGCAAAATATTATTTAACTGACTCAAATTCTTGTCAGTCATATAAAAGATATTTTCATTTTTTAAAAAAGAGAATATAAATATACTGTGACAAAATTTCTTAAAAGCTGCATAAAATATTTTAAAATTCTTTTTTTTTTTAAACAATTTGTGGTTCATTTTCCCATATCTCCATTCAGTGAAAAGATGATCTCAGTTCTTCCATCCGTTATCCCCATGCACTAGACAAAAAATTCACAAACGAGTCTTGGTGCTAGCCAGTGTCTACCACCACCAACTTGGGCTTTAAGGCTCTGGCGGTCTCCTCCGCCAAAGCCGTCCAGCTTGGCTGACAAGCAGTTGTTGCCAGGTGGGACACTGTCCACCCTTGGACTATGGTCGAAGGGTGACCCACCAGACATCCCAAACCACAATCATGCAGCGCATACAACTCCACCCCAAAAGCTGCTGTAGCCCAAAACCACTTTTTCCACATGGCTGACAAATGGAGCTCCTAAGTCACTCCCAAAACTTGTCTTCTAGATGATGCCACACACAGAGCTAACCAGAAGGCTCCTAAGGCTTAGTTATGGATTAAACACATAATCAAGTAAAATCCCCCATGTCTGACTTTGCATTTAGGAATACGTATGCTAACTCATAGGATATCAGGACAACACGATTAAAAAAAAAAAAAAACATTTTTCACAAGTTCGGCATTTGATACTCATTGCTCTCCCACATGCAACTTGGAATAGGAATCCTGAGTCAAGGTGTCTAATAATTTAATAAACTTACCCAGGGAAGAATTACTTAAAGTAACCGATGCTGGCTCTGGACTTGGACTAAAACCTAAAGAGGACTTGTTTAGACACAAACTTCTCATTCCAGGTCCTTCATTTTGAGTGTAAGTAGAGCTGATTAACTTCCTCACGTGTGAAGGCCATCCTATGTCACTGACACTCTGTTCACAGGATTCTTCTGAAGGATAAGGACATGAGTAGCACTCCTTTTTCTTTATGTAACTGGGCTCACAGTGGTCCATTAAGGCTGTTCTCAGGTCAGGGCCACAACCTTTTAAATTTGGGGACAATATCAGAAAGAGACAGAGTTAGTGCTTCTGGAAGTCCCTCCAGGGAAAAGAACAGAACTCGGGTAAGAAAACCACATACCTGTATGATAGGCTTCAAACGGATCCGAGCCGTACACATTCCCCTTCAAATACACCGCGCCTGAGGACCCCAAAAAGGGACAAAGGAATGGATCCGTGGCAACTTCCATGTCGGCTTCACTACTATTGTCAACATGGCATGTCCCTGTAAAACAGATATCTCAGTCACTGAATGAATTTGATTCAAGTACCCTTCAACATTCTCTCCACTTGGGGGATTTTCCATATTTATAGATAAAAATTTTGGATAGAATAGCATGTAAAAGAAAAAACTGGAGAAATTTATTGTAGGGTTTTTAAACATTTACTGAGGCCTACGGATTAGTAACTGACTAAATCTGTGCCATCTTACAAAGAGGGGCCTCGATGAACCATTGTACTGGATGCGTTCACCTGGGCGCCGGCCCGCAGTGGCTTCCAAGAGAAACCAATCTGTATATGCACACTGCAGCCAAGGTGGCCACGGTCCGAAACACACAATGCCATCAGCACTGCCCCCTTCAGATGAGCAGGACCAGCAAGTGGCATTCAACAAGTCATCTCTGGATGCCCAGCTCAAAGATGAGCTTGGCCAAAAAAACCAAAAAACCCCCCAAAAACCGCTATTGTGAGTATCTAAGCCAAACAACCCAGAAATGATGTGCCAGTTAGTTAGGAGTGGCCACAGCAGTTGAAGGACAAGAGATGCAGTGCAAGTGAGAGATGCCGTGATGGGCCATGTGCCTGGCAAGCAGGAACTGGGCAGTCCCAGAGAGACTGTGCAAGACGTGATCACTAGTGCTGGTGGCTCCTAGAGCTGCTCACAGCTGACAGATCCCCAGCCCCAGTGTCCAAGCAACACAGCATTATTATGTTCCAGTTCTGTCACTTTAAACTTTCCTAAATGTCTTTTCAGTAAACCCTGCTACATTTGAACAAGCTTGCAACCAAATGAGTCTAACCAGAACACCCACCTGTATGTGCAAATCTTCTATCTCTACACCCTCTGTCACTGCCTTGCCAAACACTTTGTGACTATTTGTTGCAATTTTCATCTCACTACTGCCTACACTATGAGACTGAAAACAAATATTCTTCCCTCTCAACTACGGGGTCCACCGTGGAGCAGATATTCAATAAATGCTTGTGGGAAAAGATGGTAAAATGCTTGAAGAGAATGTCAATAGTTTCCTCTTTTGGAGCCCTTAATATGTGCCAAGCACCATGCAGTTTTCCAATATCATTTAATTTCACAACAACCTAATAAGGAAGTACTATGTAATTGCCCAAGGATACACAGTTAAGCGTCAGAAGTGGGTCTTGAACCAAGCTTGTGTGCGTGTATTATGGTGCCTCCATGATTATTCTTAAACCATGCAGTTCTTAAAGCAAGAGTCAGAATTTGATTTCTCTAATTTTAAATCATTTGACTTTTAAGACCATACATGAAACCAGTTAATGTCATTTAAGAAAGGGGAACATTCAGGGCCAAAGAACATTTATAGTGTAAAGAAATTATCACGTTGTATGCAGAAATTAAACCTTAATTTTCCTACTTGTCTTCTCTTAATATCAGAAACAAAGACTTTTCTGGTATTTAAGAAAAAGGCACAATAGTATTTAATTTCAGCTTTGCCAATGGTCTTAGGCCAGTTCCTTAATATACGAGTGTATTGACTGCTTGTGAAAATTAATACTGTATTTGAGCCTTCCATCAGATTATTTCGAGACAACTACAGCCAGTGTTCATTTTAAACACTTACCACTGCTGTCATGTTGTGGTAAGAAAAACCCGCCTCCTGAAGACGTGACAAACTGGTGGTGGCTTCCACTTTCTGAGGAGATGTACCCATCCTGTCTGTCGGCTAAGGTTCCCTGAGATGACAAGTAACTAGGGATATCTGCTGGCAAGTTGGTCTCATCTATAATCCAACAACAGCATTCTGTTAACCACGAACGACCATACATACCCCACAGCCTTCCCTGATGAACAGTATGTACTCTTTTGGCTTCTGTACAAATCAAATAAATCTACTCCTGAAAACCCACCTTGACTGTCTCGTCTTCAGGTAAGGAAGATGAGGGCTCTGCCGCTCGGGGAAGCACAAGCCAGTTCTCTATTTTATCTTCTATTGGATGCCCCTCCCAAATGTCAAAAACAGATGCTTCAAAAGATAAAGCCTTAGGACTTTTCATGGGGTAGTATCTAAGCTCTTGAATTAAGCTTGATTTCTGCCATATTTCCGACTTAATATCTACCGATATAGGAGTTTGCACATATTAGTCAATTCACAGCCCCCTCCCACTAGTAACAGAATCCTCCCTAGACGCCTGCACACACATATGCACACGGGTACACACGTGACAAGAGAGCGCTATGTCAGAGCGTAAACCTCATAAATGAAGGGCTGCTCCTATTCTCCATCACCTCTGTGTGAAGGAGTGAGGCTGTTTTACTCCGTGCTTTGGACTATATCTCACAGCCAATAGGATCTCCTGATAAGGTTTTAACAAAAAAGGATTAATCTTTAAACATCAGCTTTATTTTGGTCTGGGGTGTTATTTTTAGCTAACCATATTCCTGCAGCTTGAAGCAAATGAGCCACCCTTCTCACAGGGCCTTGGGCTGTGGGACACACATTCTGCAAGGAAATTACCACAGGACCACAAACACACATGACTATGGCACCCCGTGCCAAGCTTCTGTTTACACACCTGTGTTGGTGATGCTGCAATCCTCGTTCCTCCGCCTTGTGTGGTATATGATGACCACCCACACGAGTGACGTGCCCACCACACAGCAAACCACTGCTATGATCACGACACCCACGGTGGCCCATCCATCATCGTCTAAGGACGAGACAGTCATCTGAGGGGAGTCACAGGTGGGAGTGGGCATTACACTGAGGCGCACGTTGCCTCTCTCAGTGCCGAGGGTGTTAGACATTTCACACGTGTATTTCCCGGCATCACTGACATCAGAGTCCACAATGATCAGCAGCTGATTGCCTGCTGCAAAAAAGTGCCTTTCGGTGACCACCAAGGGGCTGTCATCCTTGGTCCAGTTCAATCTGGGAGGAGGGCTGCCTCCAGCGATGCACTGCAGGACAGCCGTTTCTCCCTTGGTTACCGTTCGGTCCAACAGGGGCCGCAAAAATGATGGTGTTTCTGAAATGACAAGTTATGTCTTGAATCTCCTGAATGAAATTAGGTTTTGCATATGGTAAGACCTACCACTTGAATTTACTAATATTAGAACCCAACATCGTATTCTTCCACGGCTTCATGTGTATGCTTCGATAAGCCCAAATATGTATACAACATTCAGAATTTCATTTCATTATTTGCCTGTCATTTGTTGTAACACCTGTTAGGGATAATGTTTACTATTTTTAAAATCTCAATCTCTCTCACTCTTGACAAGATTGGGAATGGTGGAAGAGGGGCAATGCAAAAATTCTAGATGTTTCTTAGAGATAGAAAATGTATAAAAGTAATTTCAAGCATGGGAGTATGTTGATGGATAAAAAAAGTCAGAATGTTTAAATTTTTAAAGGGAAACTTTCTAGTACTAGACGACCAAACCTATACATAAATTCTGAAAGCACTTTTTTTTTTTTTTTTAAAGATTTTATTTATTTATTTGAGAGAGAGAATGAGAGACAGAGAGCACGAGAGGGAAGAGGGCAGAGGGAGAAGCAGAC